TTTCTAGGTAACAGATTGCTTTACTATTACTGCCTTTAAGATGCTCTCATTGTCTTGAATTCTTGGCATTTTAATGATGGTGTGTCTGAGCTTGGACCTCTTTGGATTCTTCTTACTTCGGACTCTCTGTGCCTCCTGAACTTGTGTGACTTTTTCATTCACCAGGTTAGAGAAGTTTTCTGCCATTACTTCTTCAAACAGATTCTCTAACCCTTATTTACTTTCCACTTCCTCTGGCATTCCTATGATGCGAATATGGTTGCTTTCATGTTGTCCCACAGCTCCCTTAAACTGTCCTCCAGTTTTTTAATTGTTTTTTCTTTTAGGATCTCTGATTGAGTGATTGTCCTACCCTCTCTTATAATTCACTGATCTGATCTTCAGTTCTCCCTAACCTGCTCTTTGTTCCTTCCAGTGTATTCTTTATTTCTGCTATGTCATTCTTAATTTCCTTCATAGTTTCCATATCTTTTTTCATGCTGTTGCGCATCCTTTCAATCAGTATTCTGAACTCTATATCTGATAGATTTCTTATCTCCATTTCATTGAGCTCTTTTTCTGGAGACTTTTCTTGTTCTTTCATTTGGGGCTAGTTTTTTTGTCTCTTCATTTTGGCTGCCTGTTTGGATTTGTTTCTATGTATTAAGTAGATCTGCTAGGACTCTTAGTCTTTTTGGAGGGTCCCTGGTGCAGGCCAGTGTCACATGCAGTTTGTGACTGGCCCTGAGTATCCGGTTTAGAGATGTCAACAACCCTCAGCTTAAGATCTCCTCTGCTGGGACTGGATGTGGTTAGACAGGACCAAGATGCACACCAAAGTCTGCTTTTCCAAGACCCAGGTCCAGAAGCAGATCAGGCAAAAACTCAAAAGCACTCTGAGCTCTGCTTCTTCCTGCAGACTGATTAATCTGATTCTTTTAATGAGCCTCAGGCTGTAGGAATTCCTCTGGGTAGAGCAAGAGTTTTGACAGTAGGATGCGGCAATGCTTCCCCCCTCCCCCAGGCAAAAGCAGCAAATTGTCTGCCTGCGAATGATGTCTTCTGCAGTATGGCAGAATGACTCAGCACAGGAATCCAGACAGGTGCCTTCTGATCTCAGTCTCCAGAGCCCACAACCTTATATTCTCCACGCACAGCTCCAGTCCACTCCGCCCTCTCTCTGTTGGAGCCCCGGGTGAGTGGCTGCACATGAAACTTTGTGTTTTGGACCTTAAGAGTTTGCCTCCAGTTCCAGCCGTCTCTCCCTGGCTGACAGAAACCCTGCTGCTTTTCACAGCTAGTTGTTTTGTGGGCACCTTTCTCAGTTCTGGTGCTCTGGACTGGGAAGCCCAGCCTGGTTTTTAGGCCTCAGAGTCCTCGGTGGGAATCCTCTGGACCTTCAGCTGCTGCCTGTAGGAGCCCCACCCGCCCTCTCACGCCTTCGCACTTCCTACCAGTCTCTCTGGTCTCCACTTTTCCTGCTTGGTTATGAGTGTTCTTTCCAGCTCATCTTCAGTTGCAGTTGATTATTCTGGATGGTTTTTCTGTATTTTAGTTGTAATTCCAGCTTGGTCTCAGGAGAGTGTCAGTGCAGCTCCACTCATCCAGCTGTCATCTTTAATCTTTTGTCTCGATTTCCTTTACTTTTTCTGCAGTTTTGTTCTGTTCTTTCACTTGGAACATATTTATTTGTCTTCTCATTTTGGCTGCCTCCCTGTGTCTATTTCTGTGTATTGGGTAGAGCTGCTACCTCTCCCAGACTTGGTACAGTGGCCTTAGATAATAGGTGTCCTGTAGGGTCCAGTGGTACAGCTTCCCTAATCACCTGTGCTGGGCATTCTAGGTGCTCCCCCATGTGGGCTGTGTGCACCCTCCTGTAATAGTTGAACCTTGGATGCTGTTGGCACCTCAATGGGAGGGATTTACCCCCAGGCCAGATGACTGAAAGGACAGGCTACAACCAATGTGGAGGATCGGCTATGGAGGGGCTGACTCCATGGAGCGGGATTAAACTTCATTGGGGCTCTGCTGCCTGGTTGGGTGGTGCTTTGATGTGGTCTGAAGCTGTCTCCTGGTTGCACTGGGTTTGGGGCCTCTTGGGAGGTGCAGGCCAAAGTCATCTGCCACCTATGCCCTGCCCAGGGCTACCTGACATGAGCTACAAAGAGATCTGCAGATGGCTGCTACTTGTGCTGGGCCTGGAGGTGCCTGGGAGAGGCCAAGCTGTAAACCAAGGTGTGCTGCTGCTTGCACTGGGCCTGGGGCCACTCAGTGAGAGGTGTAGGGCACACTGAGGCCAGATGCTGCTTCTTTGAGAGCTTTTAGGAGAATCTACAGCATGATCCAAGACAGTCTGCTTGTATGAAAAAGCCACTTGAAAGAGCTTTGTTGGGCTCAAAAGTTGGGTGGATGGGGTTTCAGAGAATCACCAGGCTGGGGCAAACAGGGTTAGCCAGGTTGATGGAGACTTAGATTTGTGCCTGCCTATCAGCTCTGTGTTGGGAGGACTCAGAAAAGGAACAATGTCCTCTGGCAGCCCTTCTGTCTGGGAGAAAGCTGCCCCTCCAGCCCTTGTCCTGAAGCCAGAGAATTCAGTTCCTTCCCATAAGTCCCTGGTNCTGCCTCTCCAGCCCTTGTCCTGAAGCCAGAGAATTCAGTTCCTTCCCATAAGTCCCTGGTGCCTTTCAAGATGCTATTCCAGTGTTGGAGCTCAGAGCAAGTGAGTTTGAGTNCTGTTCCAGTGTTGGAGCTCAAAGCTAGTGAGTTTGTGTAGGTTTCTTTGGAATGCCTGGGACTCCTGATGCCCTCTGTCTCACTTAGCCCCAATCCCTGCTGATTTTTGCTGCCAGAAGTTATGATGACATCTCTTCTTGGTATTGGAGCTCTGGGTTAGGGGACCTGGTGTGGGGCTGGGACCCCTTGCTCCTCAGGGAAGACCTCCTCAGCCAAGATACCCCTCCTAATTTTTATCTGCCACATGTAGGTGTGGGACCAGCCTCTTCTGCATTTCTGACCCCCCTCCCAGTTTCAATGAGACTTCTTTAATTTCCTAGTTGTAGGACTTCCATTCAGCCAGATTTCAGGCGGTTGTGAATGATGGTTGTTCTGTAGTTTAGTTGTAATTTTGATGTGGTTGTGGGAGGAAGTGAGTACTTTCCTTTACCTATGTTGTCATCTTGACTGAACTATCCCAGCATTTAATACATTTTATATTTCCAGATGCCTCGTTGTTGCATAGTTATTTGGTTGGAAATTCACATGGGCTTTAAATACTGTCTACATGATGATAATGCTGAAGTTAATCTGTCTAGCCCTCTCCTCTCCACTGAACTATTTTTAAAAAATAAAGTTTTTATCTTTGATGCTCTGTAGGTGCTCAGTAAATTTTTGTCAAATGAATAGACATTACGTTTTAGATGTTGGCTTCTAATGAGATGTATCCTTTTTTAAATATTTATTCATTTTATAATCTCAATCATTATGCTTAACTTTTAAGCATTATTGATGTAATAAAAATTAATGAAAGAGAAAGTTTTTACTCTTAATGCTTTGCATTTAATAGTTTTAAAAGATAGTATATATTATATCCCTTGTGAAAAGTGGTCAGATGCTAGACTTAAGTTGTTGGGATTATTTCTTTTCTTTCATTTATAATGATCTTCCAATTTCTAAATTACATTAAAATTTAAGGGTGTATTTGCTTTATAGAAGTTAATTTTACAGCCAGTTTTGAGTGCTATCTAGTAATATACATAACTTTTAAAGTAATAGTGGTTGTGGTGTTAACATTTCTGTTTTCACACTTTAAGGATGCTTCCTCTTCCTTACATACCTGTGCATACATGATGTTACTTCAGTTAACATCTGAGATATTCCCACGCACACTTCACAAATCGACCAATATTTGACATCATATTTGTATTAATAAAATAACGACCTATGCTACTGACCAATCCATTAATCCAAATACTTTTCTCTCTTTTATTTCAAATTTCAACCTACTCTTTCACTCCTCTCTTTTTATATGATTGTCAACAAAGCCAGATTTCTATGTTATCCTCACATAGAAATATCAGTATACTTTACATGTTTATGAATACTTCATTGAGTAACTGTCTATGAAATATTTCTTTTTTGAAACATCTGGTCACCAAATCACTATAGATGAAGATTATTTTAGAGCATGTAGCACGTGTGTTTCAGACAACGTGGTGTTTTATTTCAAAAATAACGGAGCAGTAAAAAGAATTGATACCAAGTCTGAGGTTTTTTAGTGTTTTCTTAGAGAGCCTCAAGTTCAATGCCCACCTGTGGAAGGTTGTTTGGACTGTTTTTGAATTGCGGGTGTGTTTTGTTTTGTTTTTATCATATGTAGATTTCCAAGTCAAAGAGTCCTCCTTCAGCAACTGCTTTCCATCAGATTTAGGAAAAAAATCTGATGACAATGCCTTAAAGCTTTAAGTTTTGTACACTAAAAGTATTATAGCACTGTAAATTATCATTTGCACTTTAAACCTTGCAAACATGACCTTTTCAGTTTTTAAACCATGGTGAAGTTTCCAATAAACCTGACTGAGAAAATAAAGAATAGTTGTTATGGAGAGGTTATTAAACAGATGATTGTGGATTATCATTCTTCAGTCCTAACAGAAACATTTATCATCCAGTCCAGTGCAGACATTTATCACCCAGTAATCGGCACTCTGTCCTATACATTGATTAGTTATTTGATTAATAAGGATGAACTCAAGGTTTCTGTTATTGTGTTGTTTATTTTTGTTTGCAAAAGAAAAATGGGTATTCAGGCCATTTTCCAAAAGGATTTTCTCTGGAAAGTTTTAACTAAAAAGAAATAAAATAATCTGGTTAAATATATTAATACTGGGCAAAACTAGTGAACTACAGGGGACATTTTGGCCCTTATTTTTAGGGAGCTCACACTTCATTGGGTACATATTTCTTTATCGCAAAAGAACTCATTTTGTATATATTGACAAGTTAGAATTTTTTGTTGTCAACAGGTTTGGCAAACATCGAAAAGATGACAAGATTGAGAAAACGGGTAAAATAAAAATACAGGACTCCCTTACTTCAGAAGAGGAGAGAATACGAATGAAGCAGGAGCAGGAGAGGTAGACTTCAGTTATTTGATTAAGCCTCATTAGAGGTTCTTCTTTTCTTTCTATTCTTATTTTTTTTTATATAAAGAATTTGACCCTGGCCCACCAGTGTGGCTCAGTTGGTTAGAGTGTTGTCCCATGCACCAAAAGGTGGTGGGTTTGATTCCCAGTCAGGGCACATACCCAAGTTGTTGGTTTGATCCCTGATGGGGGCATATACGGGAGGCAGTTGATCAATGTTTCTCTCCCTTCCTCTCTCTAAAACCAATAAAACAATTTAAAAATAGTAAGTGTAAAGAATTTACATTCAGTTGATTTTTATGGGCTAAATACAATGTAAAGAAAGATTAAAAGACTAACCTTATACTTATTTGGGGCATTAAAATGAATTTTATTTTATTATTATTTTTTTAAATTTTATTTTTGTTTAAAATATTACAGATGTCCCTTTTTCTCACCAGTGACCCATTCCACCTCATCCCATCCCCCCCCCCAATCCCTCTCCCCACCATTGTCCCTGTCCTTGGGTTGTGCATATATGCATATAAATTCTTTGGTTACTCTCTCCCCCTCCACCTGCCCTCCTCCATCCCTCTGACATTCGTGAGTCTGATCCGTGCTTCCATGTCATTGAATCTATTCTGTTCCTCAGTTTAATAAGTTCTTTAGATTCCACGTATAAGCGAGATCATGTGATGTTTGTCTTTCGCTGCCTGGCTTATTTCACTTAGCATAACATTCTCTAGGTCCATCCATACTGTCCCAAAGGGTACGAGATTCTTCTTCTTTACAGCTGCGTAGTATTCCATGGTGTAAATGTCCCACAGCTTTTTTATCCACTCATCTACTGATGGGCACTTGGGCTGTTTCCAGATCTTGGCTATTGTAAACTGTGCTGCTATGAACATCGGGGTACATATATTAAAATGAGTTTTATTGGTTTTAGTTAAGATATTTTGCATGGAGATATTAAGGCATTAGATGTATAAATTAAAGCTGAATTTATGATCATTTTTTTAAATCACAAAGAAATATTTACAGTCCTGTCTCATTCATCTTTGAGTAGGTACTATATTATGTTAATTTTTAAGAATCACTCATCTGGAAAAAAAACTGAATTTTTATATCTCATTTAAAACACTTTCATTTATAATAAGAATTGAGAAGGCTGTTAATTTTTACTGTGTTTTTTTCCTTTCATACCTGATGTGTTTTTTTCTGTTTTATCCCTCTATTTCACTCTCCTCTAATTTTGTGACATTTTTAACTTAAATTTTATTCTCTCTCTTCCAGAAAGATTGGTATTGTTGGGAGGGAAATATTTTCTCTCTGTCCTTCTGGGTTCTTCTGGCTGGTCAAAGAATTAAATTGATGTAAGACAGATTGACAGGAGAAAATCAAATTTAATTTCATAGTTATGAGGGCTCCATAAGAATATGAGGCCCCAAGTAGTCAGGCAGTCAAGGCTAATATGCTATTCTGAGCTAACGAGATGGGGGTAGGTGTCTAGGACAACTCATAGGAAGATGGAAAAACAAATGTTTGGTAAACAGATGTTGCACCAACCAGGGGCAAGGGGATACAGAGAGGACTTTGAAGAAGTAAGTTCCCCCAGTTTTCCACATCTGGCTCATATTCTTCATAGTTGTTTCTGGTAATAGTTCTCTTTCAGGACCAAGACCTCTTTAGGCAGTTAAGGAGGAGGTAAAAGATTTTCCTGAGTTTTTTGGGGCCTCAGTTGTCTTTAGCTCAAAATAATCTGCATGCCAAAGTGGCACATTCTAGAGAGACTTGTTCTGAACCCCTATATTATCTATTGTTGAATCACTCCATGTTGAGAATCCAAAGACCAAGGAAATGCATGAAGAGTACCTTAAGCAGACACTTGAAAACCATTTTTTAAAAATAAGTGATTAGAATTTTTCTCACTGTAATTTCAGGGGATGAGAAAGCCGTCTCACACTTTCGTTATTATTTACAGTCTTAGAGTGAGCTCCTCTGTATCATGTTTCATTTTCAGAGCTGCCACAGCAAGAGCTAATATGTCTATTTTTATTTCAAATAATCTGGGGTGTAAGGGAGTTTTTGGCGCCTTGATCAAAGTTATAAAGTGAAATATTACTCATAGCCAGGATTATAGCCCAGCATCTTTAATACCAAATCCACTACAATTCTAGAACCAGGCCACTTGTGGTTTTATACGAATAGTGAATGAACTAAAAAGAGTATTCTACCAGTTTTCTTTAAAAACAATTAATACTTGGATATTTTTCCATTCATCTTTCTAATACTTCTGAGGTTTCTTTTTTTGCTAGGATAGTTTACTCTGTTTGTAGCTTTTCAAAGTATAAAATATGTAAGTGGGGAAAATACGGATTTTAATTTATGGTGCAAGCCTGGATTTATTCTTATGGTTCTTGCCCAATTTTTATTTTCTAAAATCACTTAACCTTTCTTGATTTCTGGGACTCTCTCCTCACCAATTTGGGGATCCCCTAACTTAATAAATTATTTTTAAGCTAGGGTACCCAGTGTTCCTTAATTGTGAAGTATGGCATTTAAGCTCTTAATAGTATACACTTCTATCCTAAAAGGCTTTGTTGTCCTTAAAGGAAGAGTGTATACCAAGTAAGTGTATGAACTCAGGTTTATCCACAGGCAAATATGTACTTTAGTTAGAGAACAATCTGGGCGATGGGAAGAAACATCATATTTCTCCCCTATGTGATACCATCCAAAGGGGGTGACCTCCTTTACCATTTTCATATTCTAAATCTTCCGTGTTTTTTTTTTTTTAATCCTCACCGGAGGATATTTTTCCCCATTGCTTTTCAGAGAGAGTGGAAGGGGAAGAGAGAGAAAGAGAGTAACATCGATGTGAGAGACATATCGGTTGGTTGCCTCCCGCACGTGCCCCAGCCTGGGCCAGGGATGGAGCCTGCAACCCAGGTACGTGCCCTTTTCTGGACTCGAACCCAGGACCCTTCAGTCCTCGGCCCAATGCTCTAACCCCCGAGCAAAACTGGCTAGGGCTAAACCTTCCTTTTTTATAGTTTACGATGACTGCTGTGTTTCAATGCAGAATTCTATCAATATTTTCCAAGATAGTTTTATAATCTAGCCTGGGTGTGGCTCAGTGGTTGAGCGTCGACCTGGGATCCAGGCGATCTGGGTTCGATTCCCGGTCAGGGCACATGCCCGGGTTGCGGGCTCGATCAATGACTCTCTCATCATTGATGTTTCTATCTCTCTCTCTCCCTCTCCTTTCCACTCTCTGAAATCAATAAAGATTTATTTTTTTTTTTAAAAAAAAGCTTTATATAATCCATAGTCAGCTATTTCCAGATAGTGATTTTTACATAGTAGTTTTACTTATGTTGTTAATTTGCCTGAGGCACAGTTTACTTCCCAGTTTTGCTTCTAACCTCCATCTCTGTGCCTTTAATGATGCAATACTTAAGGGAACTAGGTAACTCGTAATGAATTTACTACATACAGGAGGCCTAGAATAAAAATTTTTTAGGGTCAAGGAACAAGTGAATGCTACATTAAAAAATCAGCTTCATAATTTAAGAAAACTATTATAGCCCTGGCCGGGTAACGCGGTTGCAGCATTGTCCTAATGCTCTAGGGTTGTGGTTTGGTCTCCACTTGGGCACATACAGAAGTCAGCCAATGGGTGCATGAAAGGATAGGGCAACAGGTCGATATTTCTCTCTCTCTCCCTTCCTCTCTCTCTCTCTCTCAAATCAATAAATAAAAAATTTTAAAAAAGAAAACTTTTACTTTGTATTTCAATGACAATTTTTACAAGTATGTTTTATTTAAACTCATGTGTCTTATGATAAAACAAGTGAATACATGGATTACATAAGTGGAGCATGTTCAGTATTTCTTATTTAGATAGTGCAAGCCTTGCTTTATAAGTCCTTTCTATTCTGTCTGTTGGTGTTGGCAAATCTCCCTTTGAAACTGGAAACTGCAACTCCTTTGGAAAGAATTTGATTGGAGAAATACATAAAAATAAATAAATCCCTGCTTATGTTCTCACCACAGTGTTTACTTCAGTGCTGATTAGTCTTGAAGCATCTCCTGTAACATTGCTTACCACTGTAGCTGTGAGTGCCAAAAATTATTTTGGTTGATTCCATATAAAGAAAACTTGACATTCCTTAGTTATGACATGTCCATGTACTAAAATATTATTTGTCTGTACACATCCATGAAGTGTGAATATTATTCAAGATATAAATATTGAAAAATTAAAAGGACAATGAACATAATTTAAAATGTTTTGCCTACTATGTTAAGATCTATTTAGATTGTGAAAGTAAATTAGATTCTTCTTAGTATGGCTTTGAGATTGAATTTGACTTCATTCTTCCTAAGTTCCTCCTTTTTCTGTCCACTCACTGCCATCACTGGGAGGTGGGTCATGAATACATCTGTCCACCAAGGAGAAATGGATGAGGAAGGTTACAGTGTGGATCTGTCCTCTGGCTCCACTAGTCCTGGCCTCCCAGACTTGAGCCGCATGCCTAAGGTGTCTTGAGAAGTGGGGAGTCTGGGATGACATCAAGGGTGAAGTTAGCTGGTCCTGTGATATGCTAATTTGACTTCTAGCTCTGAGCTCTGAACCTAGGTACCCTACCCCTTCAGAGATGCTGCTGGCCACAGTTTGGGCTAGGCGGGGAAGCTAAGCAAAGCAATTGACATTTGGAGCTGAAGTGTGAATTCAGTGCTTGCTGCCTCTTACTGGTTCCTCTTTCAGGTGTGCTCAGGGTTTGATTGGGCTTTAAACCCTAAATGGAACATGTGCAATTAAATGATCTGTATAACTTCAGGTCTACTTAGCTTTCATTATGAAACACGGGTGGTTTTCTCTGTTGACTAAGTATCAAAAGTAACATTCTGACTTTCTTTTGTGTCTTTGCCCCAGTGGTATCTCCACTTAGGCTTTAATGGTTGGTGTATGAACAGTGTGGTGCAGGGTTTCCCAAAAACTGTTCAGC